TGCGGAAAGTTTCGAAATATGCTAAATATGCGGGGGAAAAGAATAACATTTTTTTTTAATATTGGGCTGTCTTATTTATTCTCTCTAACACACAACCTGCCACTAACGTTAAACCCCTTTACTATTCAATTAAACACATTCAATGTTTATTTATTGTAAAAGCAATTGGGCTATTTTAATCTCACACACACACACACTTCTCCGCCTCATTCTGTTTTCATTTACTCGTTCGTTATCTGACCAGCTTCAATCTTGTAGGCTACTCACTTCGTTTCTTGTAGCCCTCCCAAGGGTTTTGGAGGTTGATGCCTCGCTGAACGTGAGTTGAATGGCTTTCTTGTCCGCAGCAGCAGAAAGCATTTTCGAATGTTTGAATGAATCAAAGTGGGTCGCCACCGTCGATTTTCTCTTATGCTGCAACACACAGTTGCACGGGGTGCAGAATAGTTTCCCCCCACTTTTTGCCCGGTCTTTAGTAGAAATGTTCGTTGGTAAATGAGCTCTATACAGTGTTGTTTACATTCTGTGATGCGCGAGCTGATGACGTCACGTCAAGACGAGTTAACTTTTTTTTCTTCTCAACTTTTTGTGGAAAAATGCGGGGATTATGCGGCCTTTTGATAAATATGCGGCTTTTTAAAAATCTGCGCCATTTTGCTGATTATGCGGTAAATTCTGCGATCGCAGAATCGCGTTTTTCTGGAGGGTCTAGCAATGAACAACTGGTGTATTCTAATGTCTTTTACTTGAGAATTGAGAAAGAATTACATGTTTAATATTAAGTCTATCTTTGTTTTTGTATAACAAGAAACATTTTTGTTGTGGTGTCTTATGTGGATTAAAGCATTTACAATTGACTTGCATTAGCCAAAAGAATAGGCATTGAATTTTCTAATTGTTTTTTTTACTTCCCTACTCTGTCCAAGCCCATTTGGTTCCAACTGAAGACAATAATCTTTAAAAACACATCATGAAAATAGTTACATTTCTAAAAAAAATCTTGTTATTATAAAACAATCTATCACAAATAGAATAATGTGTTAACAACAGGGATTTAAGCCTTTCCAAACCATTTACATGCACAAAAACCTATAACACACTAGAGGAAAGGCAAAACCTCAAAAAGCATAAAAGAGACTCTTTAATTAAATGTGTTGACATTAGGAAAATTATGTGGTTCTTTTGATAGACCGGCTGGTATATCATTCTTCCTAAGCATTGGATGCATTTCCATGGTATTTGCTTCAGGTATTCACATTCCATAGAGGATGAATCATAAGACTCTGTGATTCACTGACATTTCCTCTGCATGTCAGTGTAAGCCTGTTAGCATTTAGCTCAAAGCAGCGCTGTACCTTACACAGGAATCCTGCTTAGAATTCGAAAGAATCGTCAGCATACGGGCAACGCCTGCAATAATGGCAGCAGGCTTTATTTCGCAGAGGATAGAGGTGTGGTGAAAGCATCTTGACCTTTAGGTTCACACAACTGCATCTGTGTCATCATCTTTTCCATCTCTGTCCGTACTCCAAGTACATCATCATCATCTATGAGTCTCATCATGACAGGATACTGATGCAGTTTTTCTTGAGAAAAAAAAACTTCTCCCTGAAAGGGAGTTCCATATAAAATCATGGGTCTCTGTACGGTCTTGTTCAGCTATCTGGAATTTCTGAATATCCCACACAACTGAATCCATCCCAACAAATCTGCATCTCTTTGGAGATGCATCCAGCTGCTGAAACATCTACCTGCTGTTTCCTGCAGCATGTTCCTAAGAAACAGACAATTATTATTTTCCATATGCCAGTGTACAGAGAAGGACACCTCTCTGGGGTCACAGTGAAACCGAAAGTCCAGGCCTTTGAAAGCTCACAGCTGTAGTGTCAACCCTGCACTCTGGAATAACACCAGACTGTTGAATGTTTATACTCCATAACACTGACCCAGTAGTTTACTGAGGAGCAAAACAGGTTGAAAGGTTTGCACAAAAGTGTATTACTTTTTTAAGTGTTTTTCTTTCCAAATGTCCAGGCTGATCATTTGTCAAACTTGTTTCATCCCCCCATAACTGATTACTTGTGTTTACAGTGCTTTATTACTCAGTGCGTAAGAACCTGGATTTCCTTTTTTGATCAACATTTACAATGTTATCCCTGAAATAACAAAACTCATTCAGTCTTGTTTCTTTCAGTTGAGAATTATGGCACACATTAAAATCTTTATCACAGAGTGGTGCAGTAATCAGTCCTAAAACTCTTTTTTTTAAACGTGTCTGCGGTTAGAAGCCTGCAATCAGGTCTGTTGTTAAAATGTGCTGAAGAGATTTCCACGTTTGGTTCTACAAGATAAAACACATCATTAAACCCTCCATTCGTGAATGTCCAAAGGCTATATGTGTTGGCGGGTGCTTACAAGTGACTAAATGAGAAGACAAAACACCATCACGCCAACTACACCGCCTTTAACTTAGCATCTAGCCATGCAATCATGATGTAGTTTGTTTATGGCTACAGGCTACATTAGCAATTTATTTCTGCTGATTGCATTTACCCTTGAAAGATTACAAAGTGGTTTTATTATGTGCATATTATCCTGCTGAAGTAACATAAACCAAGCAGTTTTCTGAAAACTCTCTTCTATATGTTAACCTTTTTATAAATGTCCTCTATTTGCCGTAAGTTTACTCTATTTAAGCTGTTGCTTGATTATTGTCTTTAAAAAGTATTATTATTACTATTATTACAATCAAGAATAAGAATTGTGTATACATTCTTGTATCCCTTTGCATCATATTATAGCACAAGGGAATGGGAGCCTAGAACATTTGAGATATTAAGCCTTTGTGTGTGTGTGTGTGTGTGTGTGTGTGTGTGTGTGTGTGTGTGTGTGTGTGTGTGTGTGTGTGTGCGTGTGTGTGTTCTGCAGCTGATTGAAGCTCTCCAGGGTGTGGATAAGATCATTGGTCAGCTCATGAACGGCCTGAAGCAGATCGGCCTCCACCGCTGTCTCAACATCGTCATCGTGGCAGATCACGGTAGCATACCAAACATTTTCTCTCTTTCAGCAGCATCATTTTAATAATGAAACACAATGAATAATCAAATCAGTGCCAATGAGCGAGATTGTTTTTTTAAATATCTCACACTATGTTTATTGTATTTATTGATGGTCTGTCGCTAGGTAAGATTTTATTGAGATCATTTAAATCATAAAAAATATTCAAATGGAAATCTATTACTAAGAAAATTTGAATATGATGGTGAAAAGGAACATTTATTATTTTTCTTTGTGATGTGTTATGTTTTAACTAATGAGACGACAATCTAAAAATGGGTTGAACAAAGATTTCTAGTAGTGTACACATGTTGCTGGAATACATTTTGTATGTACTTTATGATGCATAAGTCCTATAATTTGCACCAGGGGCTCATCTACAGTATGGTCCTTACCTTCTGACTTCCATTAATTTTAGTTAAACTTGCAGTGCTTGAAAGGTGCTTTAGCTTTTGCTAGGATTCCATTGGCAGTAGTTCTGTTGTGTTTCATATGATGAGTCTCCTGCTAACAAAGCAGCTAATTTTCTGCCTGATATTACACATGTGCACATTTTCATGGTCCTTACCCACAACTTTTCCGATCTAATTTTCCTTTGTAACGAAACTATCGGCTTCATGGATATAAACATCGGTAGTTTAATGGAAGTGTTGAGTGCCGGTGAATTGCAGTTGATGAGAGAAACATGTTAAACCATTTAGGTTCATTTTTTTTTGTTATAATATAATAGGGATTAATAAAAGTGTTTATTACTGTTGCAGGTATGGAGGAAATTAGTTGCGAGAGGAAGGAGGTGCTGCAGGATCTGGTGGGCGACATCAGAAACTACTGGGTGACTGAGGGACCATTTGGGCGCATCAGAACCAAACACAACAACATAGTGTGTGAGTTTACAGACTGTTTATTCTGCTTTATGATCCACGCTGAAGTTGTTGGAATTCAGCAGGTATCTCTGACTAAGAAACACTAATATTAACCTAAACCCTGACGCATCTGTTCGGCATCCAGATGTAGCGTGTCTAGTAGTCCCTGATGTTCAGCCAGTTTATTATTCCAACAAAAAGTAACTCCACAGAGGAGTCCAATTAAATGAGTCGTGTATTAAATGTTTGCAGGGGTATCAGGGATACCTAGCTTAAGAAAATAAGATGACTTACTCTAAGGGAAATATGTCTTTGAGTCATCACTTTGATAGTGATGTTGTTTGGCAACCATCTCTTGGTGCAAAATGCAACAACGCCAATCTCCTTCAACACTTCCAAATACATTCTCAACCAGTGACAAACCCCAAACAGTTTGAAGTCATATTTGTAGAGTTGTGTACTTACGGTACATTATCACATGTTTCCAAAAGTGTTAAAAAAAAAAGTGAAAATGTGTAGCCGTTCTGATTTCCGATATCTGACATCTGTTCATAATTGGCTGTTGGTAAAAACAAAAATTGTGTGGGGAATCAAGTTGAGCACATGTTTGTGCTATGCGTTTGGTGTAATGACATTTTCAACTTTCAACAGTTGACTCAGCTGGACTTGTGGCCAACATGACTGTGAGTCTTCCATGCACCCACCAACATCTACAACTTTTAACTGCTAAAAGTATAATGTTAGATAGGGCTGCACGATATCAGGAAGACGTTAAATACTGGACGGCTGTGCGTTAATGGCACTGCACTCTGCACATCTGGTGTTACCTCTGGTGGTGGTCACATGCGTTCGGTATGACTTGCATGAAAACATTATTTGTAATAAAAAGTTCTTCCTCTGCTCCTTCATCCCCCATATTTTCTTCGTTTGTCTATTTCCTTTTACCGACGCTCAGCTCAAGTCCATTAGCCTTACCACCTCAGCCAATGGCGTTACTTCTACATGGGAGGAGGGACATCTAGAGCCATAGGGCTTCATCTGACTGGCAAAATATATACAGTATATCCAGACCTGAATGCATGGCACATATAACAAAATATTATCAAATATATGATTTATCACAGACCTAGCTATCTATGGGAATCTTATACCGAGAATGTTGCATCACAATAAGGATAGATTTTCTATATATTGTGCAGCCCGAATGTGAGAGCCACATCCAGAAAATAAGATCATTTTTTATGAAATGATGATGTGTGCAAGTAAAACCAATACAACACTGTCTGTTTTTCTGGGGATTTCAGTGTAAGAAACCAGACCAAAAGATCAAGCCTTACCTGAAGGCCAACCTGCCGAAGCGCCTCCACTTTGCCAACAGCCGGCGCATCGAAGACGTTAACGTCCTGGTGGACCTAAAGTGGCTGTTTGAGAGGTATCCAAGTCTGCACTCCATCACTTTTAGATGTTTTTAATTGCATTCTCAGGTTGGAATTGTTGGCCTTTTTGAAGTGGTCAACATGTTAAAGTAAAAAACAATGCAACGAAAATTCCCCAAACACAAAATACACAACCGAGTCTCACGGCATTTCGTGTTATAGTCACGACATTTAATCTATTGATTCGTGTTCACCATTACGATGTCCCCCTTTTTTTCGTGTCAC